CGTACGTACGTACGTACGTAGTACGTAGTACGAGTAGAGAGAGAGAGAGAGAGAGAGAGAGAGAGAGAGAGAGAGAAGAGAGAAGNNNNGAGAGAGAGAGAGAGGTTTTCCTGAGGATTGGTATAGAGGGTAAAGGCCACTTACAATAGGCCCTCGGGCAAAATATCTTCCAAATTGGAGCCAATAAACCTGTTCCAAAAGGATTATATGGATATAGAAGATTTAGTCGCAGTATTGCACTGACTTGACAATTTTATAATGGGTTGCGTACTATAAGACCATTTATTTTTTTTGCAATAAGGTCACAAACACTTTTAGATGTCATATGTGAAATCAGGCAGCTAGGGGTGCGTCACAAAGTTCGATAAATAACTCTTTCAACTATGAAAGCGGTTTATAGCACAACATTAATGACTTGATTTCACATCTAATGGCTAGGGGTGTTGTGACCTTCTTGTTTATAGCACAACATTAATGGCTCGATTTCACATCTACAAGATAGGGTGTTGTGACCTTCTTGCGTTAAGACTAAAGAGTCTTATTGTATTCCTTTCCATTTTATAAATTGCAAATGAACAACTTGGGAACTTACCTCATCCTCGTCTTGGGTTTCAACTTCAACATCAGAAGATGGGAAACCAACACAAAGTAATGCATAACCCTGAAAGAAATGTACTCCGACATTATTTACTATAGGAAAAGTATTTGATGAGTCAATCGACTAATGCATCCATGCTGGTTTTGAGGGATTTAAGACCCAAAATACATCCTAAATAACTACAAAATCCATTTCCACCTCAGATCCATGAATTTGAAAGCTCCAAAAGCAGTGTAGAATTGGCAGTCTCTGAAGAAAAATATGAATGATCCAAAAAAAGAGACAAAATAAACAACTTTTAAGGCTTAAGGCTCAAACATTTTTTTCTTTCTTTTTTTGTTTATCACATTTTGGGAGGGTGCACTCACTGTAACAGGTATGTTCCCAGATGCACCTGAACCCTACCCTTAACTATAACTACACGAAAGAACATTTATATCAACACATAAAGACCTATCGAGTATACAATAAATAATACAGGAGAAAAAACAGGAGAGAAGCTTCACAAGCATGGCTCACCAGAGGTTACAGAAAAGAAGGAAAAGAGATCATCTTGACAATAAGATGTAGCTTGCACTATGTTCTTTTCATACTGGAATATTGTATCTCACAGAGACTAGATGGTATAGGCACTATTGGTTGCATGGGGTTAGTACAAGTTCCTCTGATATAATTAGATTTAAACTTGGCTTTTAGTTAAACTTAGCATCAAGTATGAGTCGGATTGTAGTGACCTTGGATTGCAGTTCAGCTGATATTCCAAGGGCCTCGGGCTGTCGTATCTGTCCAGATCTTACTCGAACTGCACAGCTTGTACAACAACCTGTTCATTAAGAATTGTTTTATTATTGCTCACTATCAAAAGAAAATAAGCATGAGATTCAGAGATATTTATACAAAATTCTTAACCCCTTTGCACTTGGGTAGAAGAATAATACAAATTAGTTACATTAACACCCATTTGCTTCAGATATCTCAGCTCGTGTAAGCAGAATCCTACCATTATGTTGATTAAAATCATCTAAATGCAGTTGTAGTATGACAGATCACTACAATTTGCCTCAAGAAGAACTATAACCAAAGAATGGTTTGCGTTAGAGACACGCGCAATGCTCCAATAAAAATTGCTTCAAGAGGAAGGCAAAGTCTTCCACAAATATTTTGTATTTTTCCATTACAGAGTATTTTTAATAGTGATGCAATCTACAAATAAAATAAAATAGTACAAAATTCAAGTTTATATATAAAAGATTTTATGTCTCAAGTTTCTTGGCCACAAAAATATATTCCAAGATAACCATGGCTTCATCTTAGTTATTGTTCAGGGTATCGAATTTTTCAGCTTGTACAACAATTTTCAATTTGTTCAGGGTTATCTTAGTTATTGTTCAGATAACCATGCATTCAAGTAATTTTATAATGCCTCAGCTTCCCAGCAATCATGACAGATCATGGGTAACCCATGACCCATATATTCACTCTCGACCCATATATTCACTTTCTTGTATGTAAGATCTGGACAACAATTATTTTGATCCCACTCGAAGAATGAAATATAATGATGGCATAGAAAGAATTCAAAGTAAAACTTCTTTTTACTTTCTGAATCCAATAAATAAGCCTTCACTAAAATTTTCAATGCCCAGTATCTTCAGGTTCTCAGACTCGAAATTGTCCTCACCCATTCAAAATTTTCAGTGCCCAATATAGTTCAGGTTCTAAGACTCAAAATTGTCCTCACCTATAGCCAGTTCTCACTCATAAAATGGTCCAATAAGAGGCAATCTAAATGGACAAGACATGCATAAAAATGCAAATAAAATTATTTACAATACAAAACTATAGAGATACAGGATGAGACACTGTGTATATTTTTCACGATAATATGTATATATTTTGCGATAAATTGAACAGGTTTTAAGAGCAGCTTATCACAGAATCAAGTGGTTGAACATTATCAAGTTCAATGTTCATATCAAGTAACAGCATGATTAGCATAGACTAATCAACCACATATAGTTTTAAACTAAAGTAACAAGACAATTGGAACTACCTTACCATACAAAGGCTAAAAGTATATAATTTCAAGTGTCAAGAATCTAGAGTAGTTTTCTGATCATGGGATAAATACCATGTCTGCAAGCAAACGGCAAAGTTATGTTTTGAGACTCAGCAGTGTGCAGTATATATTGGTCCTGCAACCACGTCATATACCAAAATTAGGATCCATGCGTGGGATTTGGCATGAATGAATGAAGTGAACCACAAACAGCATGTTACTTTTTGAACTAATATCAAATGTTTCTTATTATAGATTATCTTATGTATAAGAAGCAAGAAGGTAAAAAACAATAAAGTTATTAACAGGAAAAGAAAAGAGGAGGTATTACAGGGATCCATGCCAGAGATTCATCATAATTTTAGAGTACAAGGGCTAAGAGGCCACGAGACATTTTTAACTGCACACACTTATCAGAAAAATGAAACAAACATTTAACTGAATACTGAACTGTGGATTAATGTTTTAGGAATACTAATACAAGTTAAGAGTAATAATTAATAAGATAATTCTGTCAATGCTTGATTTTAGTACCCTGATATTATGCAGTTATCATTTTGAAATGGTGTTCCTTTCATACCTTAAAAGTGTTACAAGATTAACTCAATAATTAGGAGACCAGTACCAGAATCACCCATCAATTCGTTAACAGCAATATAACCGAGTAGTAAAAAGTTAAATTATTAAATTATGCAAGTGAAATGCCAAATGTGATCAATTTCATGGTCCAAATTCTATAGAAAGGAAAAGACTTTTATTCAAAGCAATGTTGATTCCCACTTGGCAGGGTTCCTAGTTTGATTCCCCCGGTCTGACTCTATATTTAACAGTAAAAATAAAAATAAAACTAGAAAATGTGAGACTTGATCAATTCCTGGGTTTTTCATCCCAGAATCAAAACCCGCCTGATCTGCTTGGTTCAGGCAATTCTGGAGTCACACAGGTGATCTTTTTACACAGAGTCAAAGGTCCAAAAACTGTAAAATATATTATGAAATTGCAAGAGATATTCCATGTCGCAAATACATAATGCATCTCCATGAATGACACCAATTATAATGATATAACCATGAATGATACGCCTGTACCCCAAGACCCAAGCCCTAGACATTTTCAAGCATCCAGTGACTCACCCCTCCTACCATTGCTAAAGCTGATGCTTAAATTTGTGTTAATTTTTGTTCAAACGCTTGAAAATAGAAAATTTAAGAAAGTCACAACTAAGACAGTAACATTTGTTCAATCAAAATTAGAGAAAAGCACATATGTTCAAATGTAAAATCCACTCTGACTTGGGTTTTCCCAAGTTGAGCACAACTCGGGGATATAAAAAAGATTCTGAAAAAGTTTTAAAATATATTGGATTGTTTTATAATCTTTTTGAATATGATTTGGACACATTTGGCAAAGATTGGTGAGTGTTTTGCCATAATCACTGTTTTCATATCTTTCCCTTTTTTGGATCTTCTTAAAATGTCACATACTGTAAATTAGTTCTCTTTAACTTCATTTTTTATCTACCTTTTTAAGCTTGTTTTAACTTTTTAAGGTTGTTTTGTGTTTCAGTTTACTTTTACTACAAGTTTATTATTCTTTTTCAATTTTTTTTCATTCTTTTCTTCTTTATTTTTGGGCCAAAAGGCCCAGTGCTGGACTCGAAGGACTTGGCAGAGTGACTCACCTCGGCGAGGGGGTGAGTCTCGGCACACTGGTAAAAATCGTTTCGGACATTTTGAAATCGATAATTAATTTGAAGAAACTTCCTTAAAAATTCAAGACATCTCTTTTTCTTTTTCTTTTTTTTGATAGTTCAGTGGTAAGATTACCAAATCACTTCAGCATTTCCCCTCTTTTCTTTTCTTTTTTATTTACTTCAGAAGCTCAATGTTCAAACATTCAAGCAAACTATAGCTCAACCAATCAAAATATTCCTCCGGAATCCCATTAATCAAGAGAATTGTTAGCAACAGCAAATCAAATATACTTTTTTCATTAACTTTTCACTCAACAAAGAAGTTTCATTATCACATTTGCTAGCAGATCACAGCCGGAAGTTGCCCTGAAAAAAAATGAAACAGTGCAAAATCTATTCTAAAATTCAATCCTCATTTTGTTCAAACCTTCATTTTAAATGGATAGCTGAACTTGAAAAGAACAATGAAGCTCTAAAAACTTCTTAAGCTCACCTCAGGTACCAGAAACTCATGAACTACCCCTCTTTGCCGATCATGAACAGTGACCTTGTGAGTTGGAATTTCAGAAATCACAGAAGAAGCAGGAGAAGAAGAAGAAGAAGAAGAAGAAGAGGAAGAAAGAGACCTGGTTTTGTTGCTGAAGAATGGTCTGTTTCTAGGGCAAAAGGGTCGAGAAATTAGGGCATTTGAGGGGCTTCGAGCGCAAAGGAACGAGGTGAAAGGGCTCTGAAGCTCCATTGAAACTGAATTCTAGTGTCGAAACGGTGGCTTAAACTACTCCCACTTTCATCCAAGGTTTGGATAAAGAGATGTTTTTTGGTGTATTGCAATTAAAATAATTTTCATTTTTGGCGGGTCCCACACCTTCCACAACCGTTCAGGTTAATAATTGGACGGTGATACATCGAGAAGACTTTATGTGGTCATGTGGATCATACTTGACTTGCAGTTCAGCTTGGGAAAGACCTTAAAATGGTGAAGGAGTACGATGTGATACTCATGAGAAATTCGTAATCATATGATTATCGCCGTCCAAACCGATGGGTTTGGAGAGTTGATGGATCGAATACGAGGTTGTGATAACCTCATGGTCAATGGCTAGTTTGGGTCTACGAAAATTAATTTTCATAATACTTTTTTCTGGAAATGAGACATCACCAATTTAGGGGAGGAATCGTCGACGTTGGTTTTTTTTGGGGGGGAAATGAGGCATCACCAATTTAGGGAAGAAATTCTCTATGAAAAAGGTTTTTTTTGCACATTTCTACTCTAAGCGTATGACACTGTAGAAATCCATAAAGATACTCCTTAGAATCATACTATAAAAGTATATATTATCATCTCTTACCTGCCTTTTTTTTAAATGATGCACATATGTGATATGTCGAAAAGCCAATGTTAACATTGACGTTTTTAGACACTGATACCAATATCGGACGGACGCTCACACTCACTTACTCCCCTTGAATTGTCCATGTCACGTCCTGTCACAAATTTAGTTGTCATGGTCATGGAGCTATCATGGTTTATAAACCATATCATGGGCCCTATCCTAATTCATCATACCTCTCATCATCTTGAACCTTAGGATAACCATGAGACCACTTGATACTCTTGAACCTTAGGATAACCATTAGACCTCTTGAACCTTAGGATAACCATGATAATCTTTCGAAATCAACTCTAGACCTCAAACTTAATCATGATCTCTGGAAAGCAATATAGCATAGACATGTATGTCTATGGTTATGGTTTTTTTCACGTGTTATCACCTTTCACCTCTTCTTAAAATGACCTAACCGATGAATCTAAAAGGCCAATTAATTTTGATATCAGCATATTGACACACTTAGTTTCATCAGTTGTGATGCAAAGAATCACAGGTGCTGCTCTATTGTACAAAATTTACACTTTTTTAAGATTCACATGAGAAATGCATTCGAGGGGAGGGGAGGGGAGACTCTCAAAGTTCATCGAAAAGTTTGACGGGAATTGAGCTGCAGAACGACAAGCCTTAGTCGTCTACTGTTGACATTAGACAGCTTCCGGGACGGGGAGGTTCCCTACCGAACCTTCACTACTCCATTGCATATGAAACCAACCTTTCATGTCTCCAATCACGCAATGGTTTATATCTTATTGATCTGGATTAAAATTGTTCAATCCCAATGAGGTCCGGTGAGTGGTCCCCTCACCCTAAAGTTGCCCAATTTACATCCCTTTCTTATTTTTATTATTTTATTATTATTTTCCCTATTCCTAGTAATCCGTATTGGCAATCCACCTGATCGAGACTGGTACAGCTAGTGCCCAGACAGCAAAACGCCATTTAAAATGTGTTTTTTATAATACTCATATTTTTTCAAAAAATATATATTAAATTATCAGAGTTTTACTACCTTCAGTGAGGGAGGAGGCCCTCTACCCATTTTTCATTAATAAAAGATAGAAAAAAACTACACCGTACTATCTTACAACCTTACAATAAAGTAATTACGCCACATCATGAAATAAAGGAAGGTTAAGAAAATCTCGAGGCCTAAGACGCCAAATGGTGGCCTCCGCAAAAATTGTAGCTTTTTTTTGCCAGAACGTCAGCAACCATATTAGTCTCACTGTAAATATGGCCAATGGACCATGAATGATTCTCAAGTCTAGACTTGCAATTAGTACTATGATATGAAGAGCCCATGGAGCTTTACACTTGCCCTTTATGACGTGGACAAGTAAAGAAGAATCACTCTCAATTTGCAGGGGAAGCATTCCATTTGAGTTGCTAAATCAGCACCCTCTTATAAACCTCTAAATTATGCATAATTATTGGAAGCAATTTCAAGAGGAACCCAAAAAGTGGCAACGAAAGATCCATCAGCCCGTCTCAAGATGCCCCCATAACCAGCTTGACCTGAATTCTGAATAGAAGACCCATCAATATTTAGCTTAAAATGTTGTGAATATGGAAAAGCTCATGCCATTGTTATGGGTAACTTGATCCTTTGCTGCCGCCACGTAAGTCGTAAATTCTCAGTAATTGCCTTTTTTTAAATATGGTAAGTCCATGCCTTAGCATCCCCCAAATCACAAGCATGGTAGGTGATCCTTCGAGTCAAATTCACAAGAGTGAGTGTCCTTCCTTGAAACACACGGTGGTTCCGCTCTTCCCAAATCATCCATATAGTTGTGAAGAAGACATAATACCAAATGTTGAAATACCATCAGACTTAAACCTAAATGTTAACCATTTCCGTAATGTAGCTGCAATAGAACTGAAAGAACGACCTATGTGATCTTTTGCCTAAAAAATACAATTTTTTTTTTTAATAATAATAACCCCTTATAATATTGGCAACAAGATCACTCACAGATGGTCTTATTACAAAAGATAAAAATTCCAAAATAAATAACACATCAATAAAATAAATCTCAACTACTTGATGCCATTCATACAACCTAATACTGTGCTTGAGAATATAAAATAAAAGAACAAACAAATAAAAGAAAAGACGCATGAGATTACCTAAATTGAGTTACTAACAACTAGCATAGCATCTACATATAATGATATAAAGACCATATCATTCCTACTGGCCTTTTGATATATGCAATAATCCTCATTATTTGTGGAAAACGCTGCAAGAGCAAAGGTCTCTTGGAATTGTATATATCATTGTCGCGATGCTTGTTTTAGGCCATAAAGGGATTTATTAAATTTGCATTCTAGGTTCTCTTTCTCTTTTTCCTCAATTCCATCAGGTTGCGTCATGTAAATGTTTTCTTCTAAATCCCCATTTAGAAAGGCTGGTTTGACATTCATTTGATGAACCTCAAAGTCAAAATGGGTTGCTATAGTTATAAGGATTCGGATAGATAGAAATTTGACAACAGGGGAAAAAGTTTCCTCATAATCTATCTCTTCTTTCTGGGTAAAACTCTTTGAAACCAACCTAGCTTTACATTTTTCTATTTTCCCTTCATAGTTCAACATTTTCTTGAAAATCCACTTACAATCAATGGCCTTCTGTTTTTGAGGTAAGGGTACTAATTCTCATACATAGTTTTGGTTAATATAAGCATACTCATCTTTCATACTTCTACCCAGTATTCCTTTTCTTAACAGGTCAAAGCTTCACGTTGAGTTCTAGGTTATGAATCTGGATCTTCCCAACTTTATCAAAATGTTCTCCAAGGTAGACAAAATGTTCTAGGTAAAGATGTGGTATACTGACTCGGTTACTTCGTCTTGGTTCAGGTAAAGGTTCACTTTATTTAAGGAGTTCAGAAATAGGTTGGCTTGGTTTAAAAGTTTCAGGTTCAGGGTTTCGAACTACATCCTTATTTTTGACCTCATCATAAAAGTTTGCTTGTTTTCTACCCACCCTTGCTTCAAAGAACTCTTTATCGAAGAAATGAGCATCGCGGCTTTCAATAACCGTACATGTTTCAAGGTTGTAGAATCGATACCCTTTACCATGATCTGGGTAACCAATGAAAATAGATTTGACAGTTTTGGGTTGTAATTTAGTTCTATTTTGATGTGAGATAAGGACATGGGCTGAGCAACTCCAAACTTTCAGGTGTTTAAGGGAGGGAGCATGACCTGTGAAAATTTCGTAAGGAGTAAGTGGGCAGCTTTTGTGGGAGTCCGGCTAAGGATGTAACATGCCGTTAATACGATTTCTTCCCAAAACTCCAATGAGAGATTTGCATGCCCCATCACACTCCTCACAATTTCCACTAAGGTCATTGTCCTTCTCTCAGCTACACCATTTTGTTCAGGAGTATAAAGCATAGTGTACTGATGGATGATCCCATTTTCAATGCGCAATTCTTTGAAAAGGTCAGATGAATATTCCCCCCCTCTATCGGTTCTAAGGACTTTAATTTTCAGGTTGGTTTGATTATCTACTTGGGCCTCATATTCTTTGAATTTTTCTAGGGCTTCTGATTTTGCATGAATAAGGTACACATGACCATATCGCAAGTGGTCATCTATAAAAGGGATAAAATATCTTTTTTCACTTTTGGTGGTCACATTCATAGGTCCACATATGTCACTATGAACGATTTACAAAACGCTAGTAGCTCTTTTTGCCCTACTGGTATTTTTCCTTATTAGTTTTCCTTGCACACAAGACTCGCACACTTTAGATAAATCTCTCTTATAATTTTGAATAATCTCATCTCTTTTTAATCTTTCCATTCGTTTGATATTAATGTGTCCTAACCGCATATATCATAGTGTAGCATCTAATTTATTAGGAGACGAGACATAATCAACGTTCTCTTTTATTTCAATAGTAAATAGCACGTCTACAAGTCATCCAGTCATGATCATATCTTTCCCCTTTTTGACCACCACTTTCTCCCCAATGAAAGTGGTTATGAATCCAGCCATAGACATCTTAGGAACCGAAACCAAGCATTTCCTCATATCAAGAGCATAAAGTGCTTACTTTAGGATCAAGGTGCTCCCACTCTTCAATTTCAGCCAATGGTTTAAAGAGCGGATCGGTGACCCGGATCGGACACCTCAAAAACAAATCCACATCGGCGATTCGGATCGGGACTCGGCTGAATCGGTCGGATTAAAGCTTCAAAAAAATCCAAAAAAATTATTAAAATTCATGATAAATATTGTTTTTTGGGAATCCAATAAGAAATGAGGGTACTATATTATTAACTTTCATTTTTTTCATCAATTTGTGAATATTGAGATGCGCTTTCCCTGTATAAACTTAAGTATTAAATTTGCATCACATAAAAGAAAAATCATAGAAT